CAACTAGGATCATTTTTTAAGTGATTTTCGTTCCCGCATCTGTAGCATGCCTTACTTCTGGTTTTCAACTTTTCCATTTTATACTGCTTTTTTTTTTCATACTTTGTAACTTTATTTACCATTTCTTTTCCGTTTTTTCCAAGTGTATCTGCTTGTTGCACTACTAACTCGAACCGCTTGGCCTCTTCTATGATTTCTGACAAGCTCAAGTTATTTTTCTCGAGTAACTTCCGTCTAAGTTCGTCAGATGTACAATGTTCTATAATTTGATCACACATCTCTGTGTCAGCATCAGCAAAACCACATTTAGCTACTTGTTGTCTTAGCTTTGATATAAACTGTCCGACTGACTCATTAACTTCTTGTCTTATTTTCCTGAAAACATGTCTTTCAAATACTGGATTTACCTTTGGTATAAAGTGCTGATCTAACAAATTTATTGTGTGTTGAAATACCGTTGTTCCATCAGGTGGATTACCATGCTCTGGTATTCCAAAAAAAATATCTTGTAGCTCTTGTCCACCTCTGTGCAGTATGATAGCTTGCTTTTGTGTATCCTTAGTTATATTTTGAGACAAAATAAATATCATTATAGATCTCTTCCATTTTTCCCAATTGGAAGGTTCAAAAGGTAGTATGTAGTCTTTATCCTGTTCCATCGCGTTTTCCGTTTAACGCAAACACAACTTATCCCGTTGACCGATTTAACACAAATACTCACTAACTCACTTTTGTCTATTTGCTCATGAAACTAGGCTACTTTTTCTACGAATTATACAAATTACAAGTCACATTTTCGTTTTTTTTCCAACTGCGCCATTGTAACGACACACGTTTCGTTATTAAACTGTCTTTTTTATTACATAACATTTTAGGTTATCTATCTTATCATTACAAAATGTTATCATATCATTACAGGCTTCAATATATTATCCTAACTTGGCACCCATTTAGATCTCACTTCTTTTGTCATTGAAGTCAACAACCAAGGCATATATTATAGTATTGAACGGGTTGCTACTACTGCCACTAACGTCTATTGTTACGATATGATAATACACCGATTATTTAAACTATTATTGCTTCGATATAATTATGATACGATATCAGTTTGTTTTCAAATAATTTAACTCCGATATTTAAAAAAAAAAAACTTACTATGGAAATATTAACACGACAGACAATTACTCCGATAGTAATCATTTTTTCAAAGATATCAATATTATCAAAGAGAATAAAAAACAAAGATCGAAAGAAATTTCGATTAACTGATTTAAATATCTATGTATTTATTTATTTTTTCCATTTATATCCAGGGCTTAAAGTGGAAAAAAATCCCAGGGGGGACTAACGTCTCCATATAGTTTTAAGCGTTCCATAATATATCGTTTTATGTATAATGTCTAATGCATAATATACATACAGTCATAGTGGGTACATGTAATTTATAAACAATGATTGTGTAACATATACTCATCCCACATTGAATCATGAATAATGGTCAAATTTTTAATTTATTTTATGAATAATACTACATTTCGCGGTCAACCAATCACACCCTCCAACCTTGTAGTGTCCAGTCCTGTATATCAAGGCTGGGCAAGTTAACTATTTTTTTTAACTCATTAAGTTAAGTTAATATAGAAAAATGTAAGTTAAGTTTAAAGTTAAAAGTTAACTTCATTTTTTTTAGTTAATTAGAAAATAAAAGTAATTTAACTTAGTTAAAAATAAGTTACTTTTTTTTGAACTTGGCTCTCATTTTACATATATGTTTTTGGTGGGATATCATTACTTTTTGTATGTAAATTATTATAACCTAACCTAACCTAGCCATGAAGTATTCTATAAATAAAGTTTATTACTATATAATATAATTCAGTTACTAATATTAATAATAATATTTATTATAAAATATTTTCCGTTGTATATACAGAGTATAAAATATATGTAAAATTAATATACAATTATTTTAACTCTTTTTGAGTATATTTTTAATTATCATAATTTTATTGACTGTAGTTTCTACTGTTGGGTGGATAATTCATAATTTGTAATAATAATTATTTAATTATTTTAATTGTAATATTTAAAAAAAATAATATTAATTACATACTTACATAGATAGAAAAAAAAGTATGTTGCTGCGCGCGGGGCGACAATATCGACACATATTCGGCTAGTCGTATTTTTGGAGCGGCGATACGGGAAAGGTTATTTAAGTCAACATAACATTACATTACATTAAATTAGAGGCAATTCATTAATAAATTGAAAAATTAAACATAATAGATAAAATAATTGCAAAATTATAATAAAATCAATTGATTAAAAAATTTAAAATTTAAAAAATTTAAATTAAAAATTTTCAAGTTTCTGATTTTTTCCTTTGTATTTACCTAACTACCTATCTGTATGCCAAATTTGAACTTTCTAGGTCATCTGGAACTGGGTTAGAATTTTGATCTATAGGTAAGTCAGTGATAAAAATGACGATTTTCGGACGTTAATATCTAAATAACGGTTTGAAGTGTGTTTATGAAATTTAGAGCACATATGTATCTCGTTAGTCTCAATATATGAGCCAAATTTGACATGTTTATGTGGAATAGTTTTTGAGTTATGAGGGGGTCAAAAGTGGCTCCAAATGGTTCGTGTAATATTACACACGGTGCTGCTCGCCAGTTCTGTTAGCTAGAACTTGGCTTGACACGCTACCGCGTGTCTAGATTCAATTACAACAAAATAACTAAAATAGTTATTCTAGGTTTTTTATTATGTAATTTCGTCCAAATTTGAACTTAAAAGACTATGAAAATAAACTGTCCTTCTGTATTTTCTAGATTTTTTGGTAACAGAATAAACTACTTACGTGGAATCTTGTTTTAAATTTTCAATCCTTAGATATAAAAGTTGAACATTTTATAAATTTATAAATTAACATATTTACTTATACTATAATTTGTATTTTGAACTAGCAGTACCCAGATCCATCAAATTAAAATTAACTTTCACACCGAAATGACCCAAAATAAACAAATATATAATAAATACAATACAAGAATTTATTTTGAATATTATCTAATACATAACATCTCGTGTCACAATATGGAAAATGTATGCTACCAAACTCCTCCGAAACAGCTTGACCGATTTTTATGAAATGTTGTGTATATTCAGTAGGTCTGAGAGAGTGAAGTAAACTATTTTTTATACTACTAGATCGTCTAGATCCAACCTGAAGAGGTGCTCAAACGTGGATTTTTAGATTTACGGCGAATATTTTTATATATAAAAGGTTGTTATGGGTTTTAAAGCTATAATAATAATAATTGTAATTATTAGTTAGCATTGGTTAATCGTTAGTTAAAATATTATTAATGACTCTTGCTAGTTACATCCAAAAGGATTTGAACAATCACATTTTTTTAAAGAGTTGTCATTTTTTAAGGGGAACAAAGTGCACGGGATCAGTTAGTATCAATGTAAATTTCTGAAGAAATTCACAATACACAATATTAACACTTTTAATTGTAATTTTATTTGTTAAAAAAAAAATACAACAATAAGAATAATATTTTATAGTGCCAAATATATTTTGTTTTGTCATGAACATTTATAAGTCTTGATTAATGCCGCCAAGACATTTTGTACAGTCCAAAATAGAACATAATGGTAAGTATCAATAACAATATAACACATTTTCTTAAACTACATAAATTATTATATAGTATTTACATTTTAAACACAATATGAATATAGAACACAAGTTATTGCCATGTACAATAATATTAATGAGATTAACTAAATTGTTGACAAAATACTATTGTACATATTTTTAAATTGACTTTGGTTGTCATAATTTGGAAGTTTATGTATATTAATTTACCAAAACAAAATACATTGGTAAATAAATACTACAACACATTTATGATAATGAACCTTTCAGTCTCAAAAAAATACAATAAATAAATAATAATAAATTAATGAATGTACAGTCTTTTGATAAAATCATTTAAAGAATGAAATGTAGGTTATTTGGTTAAAGCTTACCAAATAATTCATTTTTAACAAATTTTATATAATAGTTAGTTTCTAAAAAATCAGGTGGCTATAATTCAAAATTTTTAATAGAATTTTTTTTTTTCACTAATTAATAAAAATAATTAGTAAAAAACGGAAGTACTGAAAATGTTTTCATTATTTAAATATACACAGTATAAATGTAAAATGTATACATTATATAAATAACAAGTAAAAAAATATGGCTATTTCATATGCTTAAAAGATTCCAAGTAATGAGGCCAATACAATATATAAATATTACGCTTCAATATAACCATTATCATTGAGACAAAAATGATGAACTTTTGTTGCATATAATTATTAAAATCATATTTTGTTTTAAACTGAGCAATTTATAACATTGAACAATGAATACGTATTATTAAAATAAGAAAACAGATCATAATTATATATGTGTGCAGTAACAGTAACTAATAAGACTGGACCCAATTAAGATACAAATTCTCTCTCTCTTTTTTTTTTTTTTTTTTTATAGCAAAGCGAAGGTCAAATGATGGGGTAAGATTGCCGGTGAGAAGGACAGAATTACTCTGTTACCTGTCAAAAGTCAAAATCGTATCAGAAATAATCTGCCCTCCAAACAGACAAATACGTGAATATTGACCCTTCACTTATTATTAAGTTTAAGTTAAATTCTTATTTATCAATAAGTAACAATTTACAAAAAAAAAAAAAATTTAATTGGGCTAAAAGATTAATAGAAAAAAATATAATATACGTTTGACAATATAAAAGATAATTTGAATAAAATGTTCAATAGATGAATATTTAAAAAAAAATTTCATCTTTTTAAGCTAATTAATGTTATTATAATTTATTGGCAGTGCAAATTTAAATTTTTTTTTTTATTTAAGTTTAATTTATTAGTAATAAAAAAATGTTAAGATAAAATTAATTATATTAATGTATATAGCTCAATAAGCAAGCCATGGATGATTGATGAGAGATTCTTTACTACGATCACCATAATCATAGGTTAATTCTTCATCCCGTTTAATATCAAATTTTGCGATCAAAATAATCCTGGGTAGCCCTGCTACTTCTACAATTTTAGGTACAAGATTACCAAATCTTGAATGATTTACAAGTCTGCCAAGTCTTGAACTTTCAGGTGTTGCATCAATACTATAACATTTAATAGATTATATCTGTTATGTTACATTTGACTTATATTTTTATCCTATATTTTAAATTTGTAATCATATGTTACCATTTATACTTATTAATGTTGAATTGTATACCATCCATACAAAATAAATAAAAAGCATAATATTATACAATATAGTATAAATAAATATAATTTTTTCTATCTTACCAGTAATGTGTTGAACCATATTTGAAATAATACATGTAACAACCGGTGGTGGTATCTTGAGAATAAATGGCTTCCCTTTTACGAGCTTCTTGAATATAAATTAACTCTCCAGAATATTCAACAACATACTCACCACGAGTAAAATCTTTTCCTGCTACTATGCCACGACCTTTATTAGGGAATACAGTTATCTGTTGAAATAAAACAAAATATTAACTCGCAAATATAATATTTTATTATATATTTTGTTTTTACTTTTAATCCATCTTCATTTTGTGAGGCAATCGCTTCTTCTAAGGCTAATTGTTTTTCTTCATTGACTACATTTTTTGTTTTACGAGCACTTCTTCGGATAGGAAAAAATGCAGTGACTTTTTGTTGCTTATTACTGGATGTATCGGTTATATGTTTTACATGTAAACTACAAAAATATATATATATATATATTATGTTTATATAGGTTTATCGCCTATACATACTGCCCTCCAAAATATACTTGTAACACATAAAAATAAATTACCAAAATTATAACACAAAAAATATAAATCAATCAATGTTAATTGTTTATTTTCATTTTTTCATTAACACGTTGAATGCGTGTCTTTTCACCCAGTGAGTATGATAAATGTAAAAAAAAAATAAAGAAATAATGTATGTACACATATTTAAGAACATGGGTTTATCCACGCTAAATAATAATAATATAAAGTTCAGCCGTACGTAGGGAATTTTAAACCATTCATTTTAAATGTATATTAGATGCCAAATGGCGTCAGTACGGATTCAACGTGTTAACACATTACAGTTATAACAGTTACCTATACTATACTGATTAAACATAAAAGTGAAACGATATAATGATACTGTATTTAAGTTAATTTTAGTAATAGCTAATGGTGTATACAGAATGAGAATAATAATCTATAAAAGAATAAAATTATCCTCATGTTCATGTTTATTAACATAAATATAAAATGAATGAAAAACAATTACAATAAGGAGAGCAAAAGGCATAAACATTTTTAAAATACTACAATAATCTTTAAGAGGGCAGTTTGCAAATATATAATTAAAATTAATATTGAATTATTAAAATACCTTATTTTATGACTACTATTTAATTTTGGCGATATAGGAGGCTTATTAAAATCTGCTTCTAAAATAAAAAAATTATTTACAAAACAATAATAAAATACAGTGAGGCACAAAGGTTTTACTTGAATTAAATGCAGTATCAGAAATGAGTGGCATATCCTTGATGACTTTTTCATTATCCTTTGACGGAGTCTTCTGATTAAAACAAAAATAAAATAAATTATATTTAATAATTAATATTTATACGTAAAAAAAATTATTGATAAAATATAGATAACTGACACCATATTAATATGATCTATATATTCTATTAAATAATAATTTAGTCTTAATACAGTTAAGTACAAATTGAGGAAAAATGTAATTTAAGATATCTTACATTTTATGTAAAAATAGGTCGAGAAGCAAATTGAATAAAGATAATAACACATAAAATGAATTACAATTACTAACTACAAGTACCTAAATGCATAATTTAAAATTATGATCAATTATAAATCATTAAGAACCAGATTATTATCATATTTAAAAGTAATTAAAGACTATTATTTAGTTAAAAATAACCTTACAAATATGAGTTAATCTAACTACTATTATTAAAATAATGCAATTAATACAAAACAATAGATGGAATAAAAGTTGTAATTTAACTAAAGGCAATGTGATAAGCAAAAAGTTAATCCTATCAAAAAATTAACTTACACTTTTGTAAAATCGCTTAACAGATATTGAGAGAGCATTAATTGTAGATTGCGTTACTTGGTATTCTTCAACAAGATATTCATTTGTCTGAGTTTCATTTGTTACTATTTCAATCCCATAAAAACAATTAATTGTATTTAAAACTTAATTTTAAATGTAAAACGTATAAAACCTACTTTGTGATTGTAAAGAATTCAAATGCACTTCATCATTTTCTAAGTCACCCTCTTTACTAAACACTTTTGTAGATTCATTTTTATTAGATGTTGGTTTCTTTTTATACTTTTCTGTTAAAAAAATATTTATATATTATACATATGAACATAATATTATATGTACTTGTTAATATTCAGAGATTATAATGGTGCTAAGTTTGGAAAAGACTTTTTACTAACTTTGTTATCATAAGATCTGTGGAATTTAGAATATTTTTTTTTCAATTATTTACCATATAGTTTGGCTGGAAAGGTTGTGAGACACAGATATTTTAATTTTTTCATCTTATATAATGAATGAAATTTATATTTGATCAAACATATATTAAATACATTTATTATATTATTAAATTATTTCATCAATGAACACTATGTTTCTACAAACTTATAATTTTGTAGACAAGCAGTTAATTAGTTAGAAGTATTAAAAGTTTTGATGAGCACCCTGCTACAGTAGACAAACATTTTGCGGGTTATTCTGGTCACCGCGTAAATAATTTTGTAAATATATAATGTACTTTGTTAAAAGAACCACCCAGTATATATAAATGTATTAAAATATATGCTAGGAAATATGTTTAAATACACATAATGTTATTTGTTCATTTAAAATGTAATATAATAATTTTACCTTTATTTAGTTGTGGGTTCAAATCATAAGGTTTATGATAGTTAAAATGTTTTAACTTCTTTTTAGTTCTGCTGTATTTTTTTTCACATTTCAAAATACTTTTAGGTTTGACATCGTTATTATCTATTATTTTAATATTTTTTAAAAAAGGTTAAATAAAAAATATCAGTATTAAAATAAAATAATTATATCAAAACCTTCATTTTTATTTGTATTAATAGTCATCATTTCCTTAATATGAGCTGTATTATTTTTGTTGTATAAATGTATATTGTCTTCATATTGTTTGAATTTATTCTGGATAAGTATAACAAGTAATTATTATTATTATTATCACCAGGAAATTATAAGTTTAGATGTAGCATGCACAATATTTATGACGTGTGAATGTACTTACATTATTGTAGAACTTTTTAACACTTATCGAGAGTTTTGTAGGACTTAATGGTTTGATTTCATATAATATTAGGTTATTTTCAACATTTTCCAAAGATTTTTTCCTTTTATTATCTTAAAAATAAAAAAATTTCCTTGAAAATTATGATTAGGTATACGTGGGCACATCTAGTTGTTTTTGTTTACCATACGCAACAAATTCACATTTCACATAATAAAAAAAAAAAAAAAAGGGGCGATCAATACTACTATAAATAAACTTGAATGGAATATAGGGATGAAAAGTCCAAATATGATATTGGAAAAGTGAAGATATTTGTGTTAAGATTTATTGATATTTAATAATGGACTAATTTTATATTTAAAATTAATATGGAACATGTAGTTTTGATTATATTATATAATCAATTTGTAGTGTTGTATAATAGACAAAGACAAAGTACCAAATCCTATTATGGCTATTGGAAAGTCATATTTCTTTAGAAATGAAATCAATGAATATATTTTGTATACATTGTATTAATTTTAATTAATTGCAATTATTTTATCAGGCAATAATTTGATTAAATGCAAAAAATATTGATGATATAAGTAAATAAAAAAAATTAAATATAGTATTCAATATACCTAAGTAAAATAAACATTTTACTATATGTAAGAGGAAACAAATATTTTTGTAGAATAACATTCAATTTGAATTGTTTTTAATATAATAATATGTGGATTAATGTAATAAATTAATGAAAATGAAGATAATAATTAATAATAAAAGTTTGTTGATGTTTACAACATGGCGATTTTATGCCAAAAACAATGGATCCTTTTTTTAAAAATAATGATACAATGTATTATCTTTTAAGGTAGTATACATATCTTTAAATAATAATTTAATACTTATCAAAATGGTATAGGTAACTTAACACGGAAAATCTAAATTATTAGTATTTTAATACTTTTTATAAATAAAAACATATTTTTATTTAGTTTTTATTAGGTAAACTGTAAATGAATGGCAAAGGAATTCTGTGATGCCCACTTCTAGTTCTATTAATTTATTTAATTATTTTTCCTTTCAAGATTCAAGATAAAGATAAGAAATGTAGATATACCTCGAAATTTTGATTAAAAGTTATCTTAGACGAATACATTTAGTTAGAACGCTAGTGATGAAAATTTGAATTTGTTTAAAAATGTATTAAAGAATGTTTCTCTGTATTATCAAAAATCTAAGTTCATATTGGAGCTTCTTCTACAAAATTATTTAGTGTTATATTAACTTTAGACACAATATTTTAGTATAAATCCAATAGCCTTAATATTGATATAATAATATATAGATAGCACATGAATTAAAAATGTAATGCATACTTTTACTATTTAAAATATTTGGAGTAGAATTAATTGTATTTTGAATATCATTGTCCCTTACATTTTTCCTAAGTTTAACGCGAAGGTTATTTTTCTTGTTGATTTTCTAGAAGAATTAAAAATATTTATGAAAAAAATAATGGTTATAGAATATATTTTATCTAAGCTCATGCAATCTAAGCTACATATGCTATTATTATAACTTATAAGCTTTTTATAAAAATAATTATATATTTATATATATATATAAGTTATACCATACACTTAATATCAGCATTTATATATACAAGCACTAAAAAAAAATATGAATAAATTATCAAATAAATGGGGTGGTTTTAAATTTAAAGGTACGTTAATAATGGATTATAATTTTTTTTTTAATGTTACAAAATTTTTATACAAATACAATTAAAAAATTTTGATCATTGGAGGAAAGTACAAAAGTTAGTAATTTAATACTACTTACTAGGCATCTTTACATTTTAGACTTTGAAGTATATAATATATAAAATAAATATGTTTTGAGTGAATCAAATTATGTATTTTTTCTTACCATCATTACATTTTGAGTAAATCGTTTTTATACAAATAATATTTTAATGGGATTAGAAACTCAGAGAAATGAATACATTTTATTATGATAAAATATTATTAAACACTACCTATTTTAAGTTTTTGGTTCCTGATTGGTATCTTTTAAATGTATTAAATGTGTTTAATCTAATATCTAGGTACTATACATGCTCTAAGTACATATACCATTATTATTATTGTTCTACATTGAAAAAAATAAAATAATAATAGCAAAAGTATCCTAACAGTAAAGAAATTAAAAATATAATTAATTATCCCTTAAATTAATTAAATAAATTAAGATTAAATACCTATTTGAGTTTTCAAGAATATTACATAAAAAACAAAACAAAAATTCTTACTCTAATTATTAAATGGTTTTTAATTCTAAAAATAAATTTATTAGTGGACTAGGTCAAAGGCCCACGACCCCTGTATTACACCATTAGAACAATTAATTGTTTCTCTTAACTCAAAAATAAATATTAACAAGACAATATAATCAAAATGATTTTTCCTATAAATAAATAAAATGTTTAAATACATTAACAAGTATTTATTTTCAATTAATAATAAGTGATGAACTAGTAACTACTATCATTGATTTTGTTAGAGGTAATTGAAATCAGATAAACCTGATCGTTATACAGGTTAAAATGTTATGTAGTTATGAAAAAATAATAAAGTATTGTAAGTTGCTTTGATAATTAATGTTAAGAAAATATTCATAAAACCGTAAATACCATGAAAATGATTCATGAAAAATGTATACTAATAAAAATGTTATTAAATTTAATATAACAATGCATTGAATGTTATAGGTTGAATGTCTATACTAAAAAGTCAAGCCAAAGTTATAAATCTTAATTAATGCGTGTAACTAAATTAAAACAGCAAAATATATACAAAATAAACACCAAATTAAAATAATTTTTGTAACAAGAACCATAATACCACACCCTTAGAGTATATTTTTTAACTTTGGAATGGCAAGGCAAGAAAAGAGCAATACTAACTTTTTCGGTACAATATTTTTTAATTGATCCTTGAGGGCGTTTATTTGTTGCACTGTTATTTTGAGTGGCCAATCGGCTAGTTTTTTTATCTGAAATGATACAATTTTCAATTGAACCATTAGAAATGTTACTTCAGAATATACTTATGTAAAAACACGATCAGTACGTGACAATTACTTACTTTTAACCATTTTGAGGGTGTTTGGAATTAAACACAAGTATATAGGTACGTAATTCTATTAATTTTAAATCTCAGTATCACTTGACTAATAACTGTCAGATGTCAACTCATCAACCTCTCATGTGCTCACTGCTCATAGGTCGAAAGTGAATGCTTAATAGCATTTACATTTTGAAGGGAAAAAAGTGTCGTTTGTAACTTTTCCGTACATTTTTTTTTATGTTTTAAAAATCATCCGGAGAAATGGTAGAATACAAATTATCTAATGAAAATGCAAATCAAACGCCATAATGCGACGTCCCATTGGTCGATACCATGTTATCATTTTTTCAGTTAATTTTGACGCATTGCCAACATTATAGAATCGCAAGCTCCATTCAAGGCTATTGCTCACGGCGAGAATTGGAAAAACAAAAAAATTATATTTCAAAATACTTAAATACCAGAACTCAAATTTTTATTCCGTTTCTAAGTCTGTGTAGTGTGTACTCTGTTAAAATGTTTTGGGTTCCGGATAAATTTTATACTATTACATGATCAATGATCACGAATTTATTTGTCTCTTAATACCGCGCAAACCAAATCTGAGATAAATATCATCATAGAACAATATAGAAGCGACACTCGATCAGCTGATGATATCATCATAGAACAATATAGAAGCGACACTCGATCAGCTGATGGGTGAAGTGTTTACCTATGATCTGAAGTCCGAACATTCAAACTGTTTCCGTTTACCAACATGATGTTATACCCGTATTGAAAAACCGTCTCCGATTAATAGGCAGGGTATTCTGCGCGGGTCGGGTTGTTTCCAGCATAGAAAAATTGTTTCCACTGTTTACTGTAACGTATGCCACGCCCCTTTAGAGACCATTTTCAAGGCCACAATCTCCCGATCCGACCAATTCACGGAGTGTCGTACCCCTGATATCATTAGTTTTGATCACAGACATTTTTCTTGGAGATTTTCCGCAGCAATCGTCACATTTTCTAATCGTCTAGTATGATAGGACGAAAAGCGTGCCGTAACATGAACATTTACCCTTATTTCACACTTTATTTTATATAATTTAAAATATTTGTATGTACATTTATAGCTGAATAGTATAGTACTATGGTACTATAGCGCACGGCTGCTGTCGGCTACCGGCGGCGGGCGTCGTGTTATTCGCAGCATCTGGCAGCCTGCGTTGTTTTTTTCTTTCCGGCGAAACTATTGTATTGATTCTAACCTGTATTCTTTTGTCCCGCAACCGAATAAGTTGAAGTTTATATTTTTTTTCCCCGGGAGCTCAGAATTTCATAAACACCACAACAACAACAACAATCGCGGTCCTCGCCGTACGAACGAACACGACGTGCGCATCGCAACTCGTTTCCTCGACCCCAGTCGCCCGGTTCTCACCGCTCGTGGCCCGACACAAAGTTCCCCGTACCGTCCCAGGGCGGTTCCACCAATAAGCTTGCAGCCGGATTTTTTTATTATGATCCACCGTAGATAATCAATACCTGCCGACGCCGACGCCGCCGAAATCTCGAACTCTGGCCACCCCTCCGTGAATCATTGCCAGCCGCGTCTCCGTGCCCTATGGACCCGTCCGATAAAATGGTTAGTAAATGCTGTCTGCGAACTCGCTGGCCGAGGCGCGCGTACGTTTTGCCCTCAGTTCGGCCAGCGAAAGTTTGATTTTCGCGCGCACGTAAGTCCGCCGTCCACAGCGACGGCCGATGAACGCCGCTGCGATGCATTCCTCTAGTAATATTATGGTACTTTAAGACTATATTATAGCTGCACCTTACCGTGGCACCTGCCCGAATTTTCTCAGCGAAATACCAATATCCGTTTTACCTATAATAATCTCGAAGTCCCATTTTTATGTGTTTATAATTCCCCTTTGGCCACCTACCCTTACAATCAATTCTATGCAGAATGATTTTAACTAAAATACTGAAATGCGACATTGCTTTTCTAGGCGTCCAAAGACACGATCGTGAAAGCAGAGAAAAATCCAGATTCTGGAAGTGATTTTGATGACGACGATGATCCAGACAAAACTGAAGTTCCGGGTAATTAGATTACATTGCAACGTTCCCTATATGTCCATTTCCTTCTTATTTTTTTTTTGTCTGTGAAAAAATTTTAAATGGTCCTTATTATTATTTTATTTTGTATGAAACTTCTCCTTGTATGTCCATTGGATTTAGGTATAACATCCTTCTTATAGAAATGGTAATTTTTCTGATCATCAAAAAGTAAACAATAATAAAGTTAATGGTCTAAACAAAAAATCATATTATAATATGATTGTGTTTGTACATATTCAAACTATTTAACCTAATCACAAATTAGAATAGTACCTATAATTAAATTTAAACAAGTAGTAGCTTGATACGCTATCCGTTGAAAAATAAAATTATCGATTAAGTTATCCTCGTTTTATTTTTATTCAGCAAATATCGCCCTGCCTAATCTCTGTGACACTTGTTTGTAATTAAACAACATTGAAATATTAAATAATATTAAACACAAGCACCACCTCATTTTCTTACCAATAGATAATGATAACTATCAATTTGTCTGTTAGAATCAATAGAGTTTAGAACATCAAATTTCTTAATAATTTCATATTTTCATTATCCACCGTTCTATTTTACCAGTATTATCACTTTATGAAGGTTTATTCTTTCTAGTTAGTCCCTTGTTTGTCAACCATGGTTTTGATATTTTTCATAATTTTTTTTTTTGACTTTTTGTCCATTATCGTCGATACTATCACAACAAATATTTATGTGGCTTATCAATAAATAGTTTTCATATTTCAAGTTAGATGAATTGTTAAATATTTTAGATATGATTTTGATAGCTGAAAATGAATACAAATCATTAGTATTTTATCTTTACAACATTTTTTACTTTGTATTTTACTGATTTGCAAATTGATATGAAAAAGTAAAATTATATTGGTCTATTTTCTTAATTTTTAATAGTATTCACCTATATGTTATCCTCTAATTATTGTGCCTGTCTGATAGTATATTCTATTCTATTCTATTTTTTTTATTAATTTAAAATTTAAATTATTAAGTAATATGTGCAAATTAACCTAAATGACAAAGAAAACCATATTGATTATAATAATAAAACTGTGAAAAATTATTCTTAGTAGCTAATAAGAGGGCAAAAAAAATGAATAATTGATATAATTTATCATAAATGTATAACAATGCAATGAACATTCTAGAAATACCTTTTAATGCATTTTATCATTTTTTTTTCTTATTGCAGTTTAATCCTTTCATTATCTGATCAATGATTTTTACTGTTTTGGTTACCTGTTTAAGTTTGTTTCTGATTTTATTACACTATTAATGAATAACAATAAAACTAGTATTAAATTAAAATTATATGTAGTTGCCTATAAAATAAATTATATATTGAATGTTGGTAAAATAAAAATGTTTTTCTTGCACCCTTCTACATGATGTAAAAATAAAATATATTAATACCCTGAATTATTAAAAATGGGTTGGAAATAAACTTTATTACAAATTAGTTTAAATTATGAATTATAAATCTACTACATGACTATTTATTGATTATTAAAATAAACCTATACAATTATAATATATTTTAAATTTTATTAAAAAAAGTAATTGTTTTAATGATTTTTATTATCAGGTGGAGGAAAAGACTTGGCAACTGCAGCAACTATTAAGTCAACCTTTGTCGATGAAAAGCCGCCTAGTACCAGTATTAATACTAATTTAACCAAACCTTTAGAACCAACATCTAAAATGAATGCAAATAATATGGGTAATTCACATTTTACGTATTACAATTCTTTTTAACAGGTGTATATCAGACAATTATAATAGATTCTGAATGGCGCAAAAACATGTATTAATTTTACAACTTCGATGTTGGTTCAAAATTAATGATGTTAGAATGTAATCTTAGTGGTGCTACAATATGAATTAGTTTGCTATAAACATCATAGTCTTAGTATGAACGTGAAGCTAACAAACCTGGATGGGAAACTTCCAATAATAACAAATTTTTTCACAAAATTGTAGAATTTTAAACCATAATTCTGTAAATGATTTATCTGTTGTCATATTTTGAAATGACTCAATGACACTATTAATTATAACACCATTATTTTGGCATTTTATAATTTAGCCGTTATTGATAGTAGTTCTGTACTAGTATGTATTTAACTTCGAACAAATCTTTTAAAACAATAACTAAAAATTATAAATTTACACTTTATAATTTAAGATAATACCTAATACAATAATGATTTAATATAAGATAAAGAAAATAATAATAGTACATTTTTAAAAATAAAATTTGCTTTATTAAGACTATAGATATTTGAAATTACAATGACATGGTTCCCCCCGTAGTTGCGCCTTTATTACACTACTGCTGGGAGCAGAAGAGTTGTACTACTTGAATTTAGCAACTTTTAAAATCAATAATTTAGTTATTAATACTAATATATATATATTTTTCTTTTGATAAAATAGTTATCCACTATCCAGTAGTTTTCTTTAAAAAGGTAACAATAACAAACAAAATAACATTTTTTTATGTGGTGAAGTACATAATTTAAAATAATATAGTTTCTATACCATCTTCATTTTTAAACTCTGACATTAAATTCATCATAAGTTTCTCTAATGATCATCCAAAAGTCTGGTAATATTTTCACGACTAAATGTTAAATCAGATTTCTTTTAATATAATTTATAGTTTTGCAATTATTATTTGAAATCTGAGAAAATAATTTTACCTTTGATTATTACTATTTTAATTGTTTTTATTAGGTATGCATCATAATACGTTTTTAGTTATAAGAAAATTATTGAAATTTCATTATTAATAGTATGATTTACATATTTAATTTATAACTTAAATAAAACATTTATTTTAGGCTATCCGAAAAATATGGGTGGTATGAATAATTGGATGGGAGCCATGATGGGAAATCCTTTTATGAATTTGGCACAAGGCTCTTCAAATATGAATAACATGATGTTTCCTCAAAATATGCCTTATCCAGGAATGATGCCTCCTAATATAAATCAAGCTCAATTTTTACAAGGTATTTAAACTTCAAACATAATATGAAATAAGTATACATTATATTTAATACTTTTTCTAATAATTATTAGTTAAAATGTTTCTTTTTTTGAATTGAATTTACCATTAATTAAATCCACAGTTAATGAACGTATTCTTCTTAAGAGTAATCAATTTTATTTTTATAATTAGGTATGGGTGGTGGTGGATCAGCTGGAATGATGGATGGCAATGCTGCAACAAATTTTCTTTTACAAGCATTAATGAGTAATGGTGGCAATAATGCTGCCTTGATATCACAACTACTGAGTTCAGGAGGACCTGCTGCATCTATGCTGTTACAAAATATAATGCAACAACCATTTACCCAACAAAATTTTCCAATGGCACCTAAAAATGTATCTCCATATTGGTACAATCAATCGATGAATAATAAAGTAATTAATGTTTTTAATGAAATACTGCATAGCACAAAAGCGATATTTAAGTATTTTAAATACTATAAATTTATATATTTATTGGTTAGGTTAGGTAAGGTTATAGCCGTGTCCACATGATGATAGTTATACACAATAGCTGCTTTCGCGACAGCATACTGTCATCGTATAAACTCTACGATATATATTATCCCACTATATCAGAGGTTCCCAAACTTCTTATGGAACGACCCATTTTGGAAAGTATTAAAATTTTGGCGCCCCACGATAATCTTTTTTTTTTGTGCTGAACGAATAAAACATAAAAAAAGATAGTTTTACTGAAAATAATTGATTTGAACGTCATGCAGGTACTAATTTGTTTCAAATAAATTGTTATATTTTCAATAACTATTAATCTAATAGCTTCGTGTTGATATGGTCGCAGTAAATTTGTGACTGTTACATTTATGATATAACTAAATTTAGGTAACAAAAAGTAATAGAAACACATGTCTAAAAAATTTATCATTTAAAAATATAATCGCGACCCACAGTTTGGGAACCTCTGCACTATATTACTTATTCACACTCACAATATCATGCATGCATGATATGTCTCTCATGACATCCGCTATCATATTTTTCTATCATTTTTATGGATTCGGTTAAATTAACTAAACCACTGCTACAAAAACAAATGTTTGAACATTAAATTAATCATATTAGACATTGCTATTTATGATAGTAAGTTACAATAATAATATTCCGTCACTTATTATAGATGCCTAGTGGTGGTGGGCGTACTGGAGAAGATGAAGAAGATAATGAGGATGAGGATATGGGAGTTGCTGAAACATATGCTGATTATATGCCTTCCAAATGTAAATACTTTAAATTGAACTAATTACTAATAAACATAATAATCACAATAATATTTTCAGTAAAACTTGGTAAGAAACATCCTGATCCAGTAGTGGAAACAGCATCATTGTCAAGTGTTGAACCTGCGGATGTGAAGTATGAATTATCAATTCCAATGGATACCATAAATTCTGGATCTCTTTCGGCTCTTCAGTTAGAAGCTATCACTTATACATGCCAACAGCATGATCATATTTTACCTGATGGTTCAAGAGCTGGTTTTCTTATTGGTGACGGTGCTGGTGTTGGTAAAGGTCGAACAATTGCTGGATTAATATTTGAGAACTTTGTAAAAGGTCGCAAGAAAGCCATTTGGGTTTCAGTATCTAATGACTTAAAATTTGATGCCGAACGAGATTTATCTGATATTGGAACAACAAATATTAAAGTGTATTCTCTAAATAAGGTACTTTTGTTATTTTTTTAGATTATCTTATGACTTATGTTATGTTTTGACATTTGTTGTAGTTTAAATATGCCAAAATTAATTGTCCAACAAATGGTAATGTATCTAAAGGAGTTATATTTTCTACTTATTCGGCTCTCATTGGTGAATCAAGTGGTGGAGGAAAATACAAAAGTCGCTTGAAGCAATTGTTGAACTGGTGTGGTGATGATTTTGATGGAGTTGTATCCTTTTAATTATTTTTGTTTTTTATTTGTATGCATTATTTATGCAATGTTTCCTACGTTAATTTATATGAACATACGTTTTCCTTAATTGTAAATATCAGATTGTTTTTGATGAGTGCCACCGTGCTAAAAATCTTTGTCCAACTGGTTCTACAAAACCTACAAAAACTGGATTAACAGTACTTGAGCTACAAAATAAATTGCCCAATGCTCGAGTAGTTTATGCATCAGCTACTGGTGCTTCAGAACCTCGAAATATGGCTTATATGGTGCGTTTAGGTATGTGGGGACAAGGGACAGCATTTCCAGAGTTTCTTGATTTTATTAATGCAGTTGAAAAACGGTAATAAATTATATTCATAAACATAAGTGTTAATATTTAATATTAATTATTTATTCTGACAATTATAATTTTTGTTCAGTGGTGTTGGTGCTATGGAAATAGTTGCAATGGATATGAAGCTTAGAGGCATGTATATTGCTAGACAATTAAGTTTCCATGGTGTATCTTTTAAAATTGATGAAGTACCTCTATCTCCGGAGTTTACTAATGTCTATGACAATGCTGTAAAATTGGTAAGTTAATACATTTTAATTATTTGATTCTATATGTGTATATTTGTAATTATGATCAACACTAATGTATTCCAGTTATAGTACTAATTTTTCCAATTGTTACAAATGCATAACATAGCAAAAACTGTTTTGCGTGGGAAGGTAAGGGAATGGCGTGGGAAGGAAGAAAGCTACAATCATAAGTAAAAAACAAAATTTGCACCACATAAAAAGGAGAACTTTGGCTGTGCAACGTTGTTTTTATTTTTTTGATTATGATTCGAGTTTGAAAAACTTGAATCATATAAATGATATCAAAAAAATAATCCATTTTATGTGGTTAAAATTTCTTTCTTAGTTATGACTGTAGCCTTCTTGGTTCTTTCCCTCCCAAAACAGTTTTTGCTTTGTTTTACATTTGTAAGACAGAGACAACATATGCGAGTGTAGTGTCCTCTTAAGAGATTTTTTATAAATTATAATATAATTTATAAAAAAATATTATTATACCATTATTTAAAATAAATATAAATACAAATTCAGAGTTTGATGGGGCCTGTAGGAAGTTATCTTCTTTCAGATAATAAAATAATTATCAAAATCCAACATTATTCCTGTGAAGCCATTTTCTTCATTATAATACCCCCACCCCTTTTAATAGGTTAGGTATCAGGTAGTAGATAGTGGAAAAGTATTATAATTAAGGTGGCTACTAAAATATAAAATTTATTTTTCAAATTTTATACAATTGACTGTGGAATATTTGAAAAACTGTCACTAGGCCCACAATTGTAATAACTGACGAGCAGCTTAAATTTTTATTTTAATATAATATTAGCTAATACCTATAATGATTTCCATATTAAATAACAAAAAAAAAATGCATGGGTTTTGGGGACCCTCGACTAAAGCGAAGCTTTTTAAGACAACTTATTTAATTTTCCCATATGATGTCTCTCTCATGATGTCGATTGCTTAATACCAACATAGTGCTGTGTCGAATCGGATTAGATACCACAGAGTGTATCTTAACTAAATAAAAATTGTATTTTAGAAGCTTACAAAAATTACAATAACATCACATGAGTCAAAAAGAAAAATGGTTTTAAAGATTTTTAAAATATAATTGTGTACAAAAACTAATACATTTTTGGTGGTCCAATCCGCATACTAAAAATAACTAAAACGTAGGTATATGTGCAATGAGTAATGTCCAAAATTCTTAAACCATGATTCAATTCAGCTTGCTATATATGTATGTATGTATCGTGTTTGTATTGCAACCACAGTGATTACAAATTATTTTCATGGGAGATTTATTTTCTTTTTGACTTTTATGAAAATGTTTAATGGCCAACTACTAAAGGTTGGACACCCTGATTTAAGTAATATTGGAATGTTCAAATTTGTATGATTATAATTTTTTGAATTACAATTTATAATGAAATAACAAAAATCATTATTATACTTATTATATCATCAAATTCGAATTTCACACTATGAAAAAAAAAACAACTACAAATCCTATGAAGAATCAAATTTTATCATACATATGTGAATATGTTAAACTGAAATAAATGGTACATTTTAATTTTTAAATGGCTTAAAAATATCTAAAATATTTTGAAAATTTCATTATTTCTAGAAAATGCAAGTATAAATATATACCAGTTTTTTCAGGATTTTTTGCTGATGATTTTAAGAATTACTGGCTGTTTTATATCTCCTTATTATGCTGTAGAATAAACTAGATCTAATTGGGCTGCTAAAAACAAATCAAAGATTGATGAATTTTTATTTTTATACTAAAAAAATATCTAGAGATAAAAAAACATTGTTCAGAATCTGAAATGCAAAGTCCCAAACTTAACTAAAACTATTGATATTGAAATCATTTTAGTATTAAACTGAGTTATTGCTCACTTTGGATATATTCATAGCATACAATACTACAAACAAATATGTTAATGTTAGATGTCTTGAACTCTCTATCTATAAATATACTTTCATCTTTTTTAGTGGGTGGATGCAATGCATATGTTTCAAGAAGCAGCAGAACTAATTGATGCAGAGAATCGCATGAGAAAAACTATGTGGGGTCAATTTTGGTCCTCCCATCAAAGATTTTTTAAATATTTGTGTATTGCAGCAAAAGTTAAACACGCAGTAGATGTGGCTAGGTATATTGTACTTAAGAATTTATTAGTTGAATTATTAAGTATTTTAAATTTAATTTTATAGAGAAGCAATAAAACATGGAAAATGTGTAATTATTGGATTACAATCTACAGGGGAAGCCCGAACTCTTGAACAACTGGAAAAAGATGATGGAGAGCTAACTGATTTTGTATCCACTGCAAAGTAAACAATAATCTTTTTTTTTATGCAACTTCAATACTCTGTCTAATACAAGATTAACCTCTGGTCACCTCTGATATGATTATTCCACGCCTCTCTTTATAACTATTTTTGTCAGTTTTTGTTTCCGTGATTCATCTGAATTTGACAATTACTTTACTGAGTTAATATTATAAAATACAAGCTTTTGGGATGTTGGAAAAAAATTAAGTGACCCAACAACATGACACTTGTATGTTACTCACATAGCACCCTTTAGTAATTTAACCATTTCCTGAGCCATGCACAGGAGAGCCCCGCCACCGTTGGTTATTCTTAAATTATGTTGAGTATGTTGTTTATTCATGTTAAAAGTTAAAACTAATATACATTAACATGTGTTTTTAGAGGTGTTTTACAGTCTTTAGTTGAAAAGCATTTCCCTGCTCCAGATCGTAATAGAATAAAAAAACTACTAGGAAATGTTGGCATTGAATTAAAACATTCCAAACATCATAATGGTGATTCTCAAGGACCTAGTAGCTCTAGTGGAGGCGGAGAAAAGAGAAAATCAGGTATTTATTTATTTAGGTATAAATGTTTTATTTCCCTGGTTTTCTAAAATCATTTTAATCATTCTAATTTAAACACTAGGCCGACAAGCATCTTCGAGACATGTAAAACGTGCCAAAGATTCAAGTGATTCTGATTCAAAATCTGATAATGATGATTCCGATTTTAAAATGTCAGAATCTGAGTCTGAAATTAGTGAAGAACATAGCGATGATTCCGAAGCAAGCAGCGACTTTAATCCATTTGGTGAAGATGACACTGACAGTGATGGTAAATTAATTATTATTATTGTGACTTCTATTTTAATAATATATTAAAATAAAACTTTACTTTAGAACCTTGGGCAGCTGGTAGAGCAAAAAAACGTAAAAATAAAGTTCCCGCTAAAAAGAAACAAACAGCAAAAGACAAAATCCATCAAATTGTATTAAAGTCAAGCATGGCTAATAATAGCCACCAAAAAGATGCTATTGACCGTGCTTGTAGTATGAAAGAAGAATTGATGGAAAGGATTGAGAGATTAGGAGATAAATTGCCACCAAATACTCTTGATCAGCTAATTGATGAACTTGGTGGGCCTGAAAATGTTGCTGAAGTAAGTACTTAAAAAATGATTTTATTGGTTATCAGATTTTTAAATTATATTATTGTATAAAATTAGATGACAGGAAGAAAAGGTAGAGTTGTTCAAACAGATGGGGGTATACAATATGAATCTCGCTCTGAAGTTGACGCACCTTTAGAAACATTAAATGTTATTGGTAAATATTATTATTTATATGAATTAGTTAATTGCAATTTATGTCAGTAAACAGTGAATCAAATAAGATGGTAAGATCACTCCATAAAATGTTTATATTTGAAACCAATTAAATAGGTATACAAAACAAATTTAATTCATATTCCTCATGCTTCCTCTCCATACCAATCTTCTTTTTTTTGTTAAATTATTTAATAATTAATTCATGTTCGTATGTATATTTGTGTAGCATTAATATTTAATATTATGACAAATTTATTGAAAAGCATATAAGTTTTAAAATATTATACTAAATTTAAAATTGTATTTATGGATGTCAATTAGGAACCGATAACAAATGTGATATAATATTTAATGATAAAATAACATGGTCTGATAGCAATTTAATGGTATGTATACTCTTTACTCCACAGACCATCAGTATTCAGTGATAGTTTGCCGCTTTTCATTAGTAATTATGATTAATATTATATTATATACATTGTGCATTATGAGGTAAACTAGATACAAAGATTTGACAATAGTTCGGAATCATGTTATTTTGTCATGATATAATATATACTCTTCACTAATACCAAAACTAGATTTTAAATATAAACACTTATCAAAATAATATATTTATGTCTAAGTTTTATTTGTATACAAAATACTAAAGTCGCTTCATTTTATTTAATTGAGCGTCATTGAAATCTAGCTGTGTGGTAGTAGTAGGACATTGAACACATGTTCTAGTCACGTTAAAATACTTTTACAATTGACATTCAGTGATAGTTGCCGCTTTTCATTAGTATATGATTCATAATATATTATATACTTGGCCTATGAGGTAAACTAGATACAAAGATTGACCCATAGTCGGAATCAATGTTATTTTGTACTGATATAATTATACTCTTCACTAATACCAAAAACAGATTTTAAATATAAAACTTATAACAATTAATTATAATTAGTATAAAGTTTTATTTGTATACACCTAATAAAAAGTCGCTTTCATTTTATTTTAAATTGAGCGTATGAATATCTAGAGGTGTGGTATAGTAGGACATGAAAACATGTTCTAGTCAAGTTCAATACTTTTTACAAATACTCTAATGCACGATAGTATAACTCGACTCTTATATTATAGCAAAAATAAATTTAATAGTTAATATTCATCCCTAATATTTTTTTGACATGAATATACATTTTCCTTGTGCCAACTGACTTTTTCAAGTACCCTGGTAATTTTTAAATTAACTGCTTGAAAAATTAAAGCTCAACTCAGCTTATATTATAATATCCATTAATATTTTATCTGTTTAAATTTAAAATAGAAAAACAAAGGTTTATGGATGGTGAAAAGGATGTAGCTATCATATCAGAAGCTGCCAGTTCTGGTATATCATTACAAAGTGACCGAAGAGCCCGAAATCAACGCCGTAGAGTACACATTACCTTAGAATTACCTTGGAGTGCTGATAGGGCTATTCAGCAATTTGGTCGTTCTCATCGTTCTAACCAAGTTAATGCTCCAGAATATATTTTCCTAATATCAGATTTAGCTGGGGAAAGACGTTTTGCATCTATAGTGGCCAAACGATTAGAAAGTCTTGTGAGTATAAATGAAAAAAAGCTGTTTATATTATAATTAAATGTTTAAATTATTTATTGTCTCAATAATTTAGGGTGCTCTCACGCATGGTGATCGAAGAGCAACTGAAACACGAGATTTATCAAAGTTTAATATTGATAATAAATATGGCCGTGCTGCTTTAGAAACCACAATGAAAACTATTATTGGTTATGAGAGTCCTATAGTACCACCCCCAGAAGATTACAAAGGACACTTTTTTGAAGGTATTAAATATTTTAAAAATTATAATTATAAATGTGGGTTACTACTTACTAAATGTCTTTAGTCACTGGTTATTTAATATTTTGCATAATCATCAGTGTTGGTTATCATATTTATTCTATATTTTTAATATTTGTTTTATTGTTTCCATATTGTATAGTTAATTGATACCAATTGTTTTCTAAATAAATTTTTTTATATAAGAGTTGAATTTAAACCTTTGATCTTCTTAGCTTCAAATTATATTAATTTTTTTTTTGTGTTCAATTATTCATTATTAAAATTTAACATACCTTTTACCGTGACCCAATGCTCAAAATTCTACAAAAACGAGTTCCATATTTTTTTTTTTTTTTTTAGAGTATGTTGCACCTGCATGTTTTGTCATACGTATGACAGCAAATTTGGTTTTGCTAGTTTCAAGAGGGCGCTGTCTGTTGTTACCTAAAAGTTTGATAATGGGTCAATTCACTCCAATATAAAAACAGACAGCAACCTATTGAAACTAGTAAACGAAAATTTGGTATCTCGTACGTGTGAGACGGAGACAACACATGCGGGTGCGACTTCCTCTTAAGGGAGGGTGAGTTGTGATTATTAGCAGATGCCTTACTATGCTTATATATTTTATACCAGACATATTTTGCGATAGTTCCTAAATGCTTTGAAAAAATAAATGTCTTACAGTTATTTAACATAACTAAATTTAGTTAAAAATAAAAGTTAAAAAATCTGTTTTATTCCTATAGATGTCGGCGGTGCTCTTGTAGGTGTTGGTATGATTATCAATAATGAAGCCAGTCCTGGTAACTTAACATTAGACAAGGATTACAACAACATAAGCAAGTTCCTAAACCGTATCCTTGGTATGCCAGTTGAGCTTCAAAACAGACTGTTTAAATATTTCACCGATGTACTACACCATATTATAACACAAGCAAAAAAATCTGGTCGCTTTGATTTGGGAATCTTGGGTATGTAACCAACTATTCAGCATTTAATAACATTTATTTCATGTCTACATTTTTTTTTTTTAGATTTGGGTACTGCTGGTGAGAATGTGAAACGAGTAAAAATGTATACGTTCCTTAGAAAACATGCCACTGGTCAAGCTACTACTGAACTTCACATTGTACATGTTGAAAGAGGTATGAGTTGGGATGAGTCTGTAGAAAGGTGTAAGGAAGCCAAAGCACCTACTGAAGGATATTATCTTTCACATCAGGTAAGAATTGATTTATATTTTTATTAAGTGCACTATCATTACATAACATTTAATTTAGATAAGAAACAATAAAAGTACCGCAGTACTTGCTTTGTTGGCTGATAATAGTGCTAATAAAAAAACCGAAACAACAAAAACACCCTCTAAGAAGGACATTATGTTCACTATATTCCGTCCAAACACAGGATTACAGGTAAGATAAAATATGTCAAGACTACACATTTTCATTCAAAAATTGTTTATTTATTAGTGCAATTGATATTGAAATATCAATCATTGTGATATTATTGTTATTTGTTTAGTTAAGGCAAGAGTCACTGAGTGAACTTGAAAAGAAATATTTTAAAGTGGAGTTATCTAAAGCAGAAAAACACTGGAAAGAACAGTATGATTCATCTGAAACTGTTTGTTCACATGCCTATTGGTAGTTACATATTTATAAATATTTTTATAAACACAATTTCTAAAATTATATAATTTTGTTTAGGCGTGGCAACTGTAAGCTTGTTACAGTTGGTCAAGATTGTGAAGTAGGTTTAAGACGCCGTACATATAATGTTTTGTCTGGATCAGTGTTGAGTGTATGGAGTAGAATAGAAAATGTATTATTAGCTCGGACAGGTTCTCATCATAAGATGCAAGTTGTCAGGTTAAAGACTGCAGAAGGATTGAAAATAGTTGGTATGTAATTTTGATGTTTCATAATATGCCTCCAATTTTGTTACATCTATGGACTTGCATTAAATAATATTTAACATATTACAGGTACGTTGATACCTAAGTCGTGCGTTGAAGCATTAAGACAAGACCTAGGTGCAGATGCAGAAAAGACAGAAGAACGCGTTTCTAATTTATAAGTAAAACTGTATAAACTACAATGTTTATAATTTAGATAACTTACTTTCAAAGGAATTATGATGATCTAATTTCAAGGATGTAATAAAATTCCTGTATCATAAAACGTCCAGGAATAATCCCTAATTGAAATTGATCCTTTGATTTCTCAATATTTTTTCTGAAATTTGACAGAACTGACGACGGCATTTTGTTTATTAAAAATGTTTAATTTTTTATTAAAAAAAAAAGAAAAATGAAAAAAAAACTTAGTCATCCTTGTCAATATTACGATTCACATATAGTTTTTATATTTATAATTTATATTATAAAATATTGTATTCTTTATAATGTGACTATTTAAAATCCCACCATATAAATATATATTTTCTTTTGTAGTTTATATTTTCCTTAACCTAGTCTCTTTTATATCTTTATCCTCTAGCACTTAATATAATACTACTTAAATTACTACTTTAGTGTTTAATGAAACAAATTCATTTTCTAAATTGAAAAACTTTTGATTATAATTAATTATCAGAACAAATTATATTTTGGTGTGACCAACACCTAATTTATAATAAATAACAGTATTTCCTATCATTATGCTTGCAAAATATAACATTTTCCATTTCTTTAGCGTGGTAGACTGGTATTTTATTGATTTATTATATTGTTTGTATTTATAAATACTAATAATATCTTATCATTTTAACTGTAAGAAATACTAAGTAAATTAATTAATAATTATAATTGTTAATTTATAGTTTTTACTTTTTAAAGAGTGCAGATACTTGGTTTCAATGTAAATTACATTTACCTACACATTTTATAATGCTAAAGTATAATGAAAGGATAGTTTTTATAATTTGTTAATTAGAATCGAAAATTAATTAATAAGACTTAATGATCTATTCATCATTAGAATTAAATTATTTTAAAATTAGATTTCTCAGGAGTTTAAATTAATTAAAATTCTGTGAAATTTTCTCCGATTTTATATATTTTTTGTTACTGAACTTAGAACATAAATTTTAAAGTGTATCATCTCAATAGTATTAAGGTAGTTTGATAATATTGTTAAGTAAATAACAATAAGTTTGTAAATAACTTAATTATAAGTTAGTTTGTAGGTAAATTTTATGTAGTCCTATAGTATTTCCCTTTTACTTCAAGAGTAATCTCTTGTTATGATTTATATAGTTACCTCAACAATGATCAGATGGTATCGTATTTTTAAATATTTTTTAAATTTTATTCCTAATGAATGACTTATAAGGACTTGCGTTTTTTTTTTTTTTTTAATATTTACCTAATATCTAAGACATTTTGAGAAAATATACTAGTAATTGGTGTAATTTAATAAAGCAAATGGTTTAAAAAAAAAAATATCCAGTAGTTATTAATTTTATCTTTGAATTTTATGTTTTAATTTAGTTTTTTTATGATATGTAGTAAATATTTATAAAATGTTCATATTTACTATCTAACAACACTAATGTGCTTGGAAATACATTAAATGTTGATAAATAATTGTAATGTAATAAAACTTAACATTTTATATTTAGTTAAGTTTTAATAGAATATCTTTTATAGCCTGGGTTAGGTTAACCTTTTTAGAATGTTGACCACCTATTATTTTTTTTTTTAATGTCCTGGCTATATTTGTAATAAAAACATGGCTACCGACTGAAGACCCCTGTTTTGAATATATGTAAATTAACGAAAGACTTAATGGATAAATTTCTTTTATTTACAAAAATTATGTTTAGATGTATTCTCTGTAACATTGATTTCAGTTTGTATACAGATGTGAAGTAATTTGCAATGCATTTTATAGGATATTTGGTTGTTATAGATCCATTTTGCTATAATTCTAATATGAATGACAAAATTGCAATGGACGAAAAAAATGACTTCCATTATATTTGAATGGTCAATGGAACTAATGTACATTTCGGTAGTACCCACTATGTCTACAATCTGGTACGCACATTGTCAAAATTACTTTTCTTTATTTTATGATTATACTAAATTTGGTTTGCTAAAGAATTTTCCTTGTATTGCTATGTTCAATGAAGTTGAAGAGTTAGCAGTTTTATTTGGAAAGTACCTGTTGTTTATTACAATCTTAAGAGGTCTTTATTGTTTATTTCTAATTTAATAATTTATACTTTAAAAGTTTTAATAAAATTAATATTTTATGTTTCATCTAAACATTCTAATCGAAGGAATTTGATTATTGAATGACAACATTGATAATAAAGTATGAGTGGTCATAAACAAGATATTTAAGCGCGTTTTCTTGCTGTCTCTCGCTGAACAGAGTATAGCTTCTTATACGGGCACCTTCACTACTTTATGTTCTTTCTAGTGAGTTACATGGTTATATGATCACCCGATGGCATGGTAGAGTAGAATGCATAGGTTTAACATAGCAAGTCGAGTTGTGTTTTATGTAAAAAAGATCGAGTGTCTATTCTATATTGTTCTGTGGTTCTAGCACAGCTTATATAAAACCACAGAACAATAAAACAGAATAAGCATATATTATATAGTTTAATTAATAATATAATCTGTGGTTCTAGTTTCTATGATGAATATAGATAGCGCTAGATGACTTGCTACATCCCTCCCCCCCCTCGCACTAGACAACTCAAGACCTTAAAAGGCCCGTTGACTTGGCTTTTCGTATTCACTATTCAGACTTCCAGTCCATTCTATCTTAGTTACTTAGGTTTTAGTTACCTCTGCGAAAATACGCATTTTATGTTCTGTCTATATGGTAGTGAATAGTGATAGATTATACTATTGTTATCAAATATCATATTATTTTTGATTTTATTTATAAGTGATAAGGTAATTAAATAATAACTGATAAGAGTGTGTTAAAAATATAATGTTTTAAATTCCAGAATCTTCTATTGAATTCTAAAGATCTCTTTCAAAATTTCATTCTTGGCGCACTCCCAAATATATTTATTTATATAAAGCTCATGCATGGGCTTTTTACCTTTTTAAATCTGAACGAATCGTTTTTTAATCAGTTAACGTTTAAAATCTATTAGCAGTCGCAGTATATAATGTCGGGAGACGTTACAAAAGACGCAAATCTGTTGAAAGAACAAGGCAATGTGGCATTTAAGGATGGAAATTGGCTAAAAGCTTTGCAATATTACACTTCTGCGTTGGATCTACTGAAGGAAAACATTCGCGATAAATCGATATTGTACAAAAATCGGGCTGCTGTGTACATTAAGTTGGGTGAGTTTGAAAATGCAGTCCGTGATTGTAGTGCATCATTGGACATAGTTGCAAATGATCCGAAAGCATTGTTCCGACGTTGCTGTGCTTATGAAGAGCTTGGAAAATACGAAGAAGCCTACATAGATGGTAAGCAATGTTTGTCCTCCGATCCATCAAATAAAGAAATACAGCCTGTTTTATCGAGATTACATCCAATTGTACAAGAGAAGGTGAGAGAAAATGCTCAACTGTCTAATAAAATTGAAAGCATGTTCAAATATGCTTTTAAAATCGAAGAGAGTCTAGAAAAACGTACTACAGCCATTAAAAATTTATTGGTTTTAACTAAAGAATCAAGTAGTGGAAGTACTGGTTTGTTGAAATCTGGTATTGTTAACAAAATTAAAGGTCTCTTAAAAAATGATCAAAATGCCGAAGTACGAATAAATGCCCTGAGAATATTTGGTCAACTGTGCAAAAATGATGAAACTCGTACTAAGCAAGTCTTGGTTGAACTTGGTGTTCCTTGGTTTATAGATGCGTTAAATACTGAAAATCAAAACGAAATAAACGGTGTTACATTCATTATACAGGAGGCACTGAATAGTTTAACAGGCATGTCCAACACATTAGATAGTTCTCCAAACGAAGAAAAATGCACAAAGAACTCAAAAGAAATAGACGCAATTCTGACTTGTTTAGTCTGTTCCGTGGACCGTCATTCTATTAATAAGTTTGCAAGAGATTCCATTATAGAGATATTGACAAGAAATGTTCATTTTAACAATATAAATTGGGCTGAACGTTTAATTGATATGAAGGGATTACAGAGATTGTTGGAAGTAGCTGCTGAACTCATTGAAACCCAGTATGAATCAAAAATGGAAATCACTGAATACTCCCATACTAACGTTTCAGTTTGCTTGTCAAAAATATATGACAACATGACGTGTGATAAATCCCGGGAGAAATATGTAAATGCTGTTGATGAGTTCCTGAAGGAAAAGCTACTAGACCCAGATATAGAATCTAAAGTCCGAGCTATATCAACCATAACAGTATTGCTTATGGGTCCAATAGATGTTGGAAATTCAATTATATCGAGAGATGGTACGTTTTAAATATTTAATTAATTAATTTTACAATGTATGTCGTTGTACCTATTTCAAGTAATAATATATTTTTTTTTTTTTGCAGGCATTATTGAAATGATTCTCACAATGGCTACAACAAATGACAAAGTACAGCAAAAAATTGCATGTGAATGTATTATTGCTGCTACATCAAAAAAGAGTAAGATTACGCCAATTGTGAAGCAAGGTACCCAAATACTTAAAAACCTGTACAAGAGTGGTGATGATGATATACGCATTCGTGCACTGGTTGGCTTATGCAAACTCGGCAGTAGTGGTGGAAGTGATGCTTCAATCCGTCCATTCTCAGAAGGCTCTACTCTTAAATTAGCCGAAGCTTGCCGTAGATTTTTAATACATCCAGATACCAATCCGGATACAAAAAGATGGGCTGTAGAAGGGTTATCTTATTTAACATTAGACGCAGAGGTTAAAGAAAAGCTAGTTGAAGATCAAGCAGCATTGGTGGCCATTATGGGGTTAGCTAAATCAGAGAAAACATCAGCGATGTATGCTCTAGTATCAATATTTGTCAATTTATGTAATGCATATGAAAAACAAGAGGTTATTCCAGAAATGATTGAACTTGCAAAATTCTCTAAATGTCATGTACCAGAAGACCATGAACTAGACGATATGGATTTTGTCAATAAGAGAATTATGTTATTATGTAAATATGGTGTCATAACGGTCCTTGTACAACTGTCCAAAACAGAAAGTTTAAACATAAAAGAACTTATTTCGCGACTATTCAACGCTATTTGTGTTCTACCAGAAATCAGGGGTGAAGTAGCTAAATTGGGAGGTTTAAAATCTCTCTTGGAACTTGCTCATTCAGGTACACCTAAAGGCAAAAGACAAGCTTCTCAAGCTCTAGCCAGAATAGGAATTTCCATCAATCCAGAAGTCTCTTTCAAAGAACAACGTTGCCTAGAATCTGTTCGGCCATTCCTTGGTTTATTGCACCCGGACTGTACGGCATTAGAGAACTTTGAGGCAATGATGGCACTTTGTAACATGGCGTCTGTGAATGAAAGGGTACGAAAGAAGATATTAGACACTGGGGGTCTACAGCTCATAGAAAGTTATTTATTTGAAGAACACCAAATGCTTAGGAGAGCATCTGCCCAATGTTTTACTAATCTTATGATGTCTCATGATGTCATAAAGATAATTGAAGGTGAAAATGACAAATTAAAAATGTTATTCCTGTTATGTGAGGAAGAGGATGAAGATACAGCATTAGCTGCTGCTGGAGCAGTTGCAATAGCTGTGTCAAATAGTGTACTATGCTGTCAAAAATTAATGAAGTTTAACAATTGGGAAGAATCTTTGAAGGCTTTATTAGCACATCCTAATAATGCAATGCAGCATAGAGCTTTAGTGATTGCACATAGTTTAATAGGTACCGACAAAGATATTGCTGAAAAAATTTTTGCCACCGACATCATGGAAGTATTAATGGCACTGTCAATAATGGAAGATGAGAAGAAAAAAGAGATTAGAGAAATGGCCAACAAATGTTTGAAACTAGCAGAAAGTTTGAAACTTATAAAAAAACCTGATTTTGAAGAAGAATAAATTTGTGAATTAGATTACCCATATATCATTATATTATTAACGGTAAACATAATTGGTCCCAGTATAAAAAATGCTGTATGCAAACAATCGGTCCTCATCATAATATGATATTAGACAAATTGGTCACGGCCAATTTTTTTTTTTGAGACACTAAATTGACACCATAGACACTTTCCACCTTATCTTCTAATGTTTATTATTGTTGTTGACTGTTTGGAGCGCATTCAACAGGCACTAAATGGCCCCATTCTCTCATGAAAAAAAGTAGGTTATTATTAGTTATAATATTATTATTGTTACTAGTATTAATTGTTTATTATTGATGATATGATTTTATTTGTGTTTTATCATTTAAAGCACCATATTTATTATATTCATTGTGAAAATAATATGTTTTCTTTTTCTTGTTTTAAAAATTGTAGTACAATAATACAATATTATCTTATATTGTAATATTTTAATTTAGCAATATGATATTTCAACTGTAAGTGTATAGCTAATTTGATTTATATAATATTTACAGGGTATTCAACAAGAATAGTTTTGATATGTATTAAATTTTAAAGAAAAGTATTATTTTTATACTCAATATCTTAATATGTGGAACACTGCCTTCTAGTCATATAAAATTAATTACTTTTTGTTCTATACTTAACTTTTATTTTATAAATTGCTTATGAATATTTTAAGAGGACGCTATTATAATTATTTGTATTGACATTTGTTGACTCAGTCTTACAAGTGCGTAACATAGAAAATTATACGCTCAGCAGATCACGTTTTGCTCCGTCTGTTTAAAAATTAGAGTGAATTGACCTCTTATAAAATTTAAAGGTAAGTTTATTGAGTTATGAGTATTATAAGATGTACAAACAATCTACAATTTAAAAAAAAAATCCTATGGGATGCCCTAGATAATAATCTTACCTTTAAATTTTATATGAGGTCAATTCACTGTACATTTTAAACTAATGGAACTAAACGTGATCTGCTGAACGTAAAATCTGCTTAGTTACGCACTTTTAAGACAGAAACAACAAATGTCTGTGAGCATCCTCTTAACGTTACGTCAGTACATTACATTGTAATAACTAATATTAATATTTATTTATTTTTATTACTTACCAAAATATTCTTTTTGATATTTTAAATGTTAGATTTAATTTTTACTTAAATTATCCTAACCCTTTACTTATTATTGATGAGAATTGTATTTAAATAAATTAATGTTTATATACTTTTACTTGTATTCTTATAAAGTTATAAGCAACCATGTTGTTTACTAGCTAATTAAGTGTTATTAGTGTTATTACTTATCATAGTGTTATTTTTGTCTCCTACCTATAGGCTATATGCTTATATTATATTTTATTACTATGTTTAAGATGCGCCTTAATAATTTTGAAGTACCTATTTAGGCAGGTAAACATATAACTTTTTTTTCAGTTGTGACTCCTTCCATCACGTTTTCATGTCATAAACTTTTAAAATATCACATATTCTTATTGTTCCTAAAAGAACAGATTGTATATACCTTATAAATAATAAAAAAAAAAAAATTAAAAAAATTAAAACCCCAGATCTTCTGATATCTAATTAATAATTAGGTATCTTATAACATTTTTAAGGTCCATTTAACATAACCTATAACTATATAACCTAGAGGACTCGGACTCGTTATCCTCCAAAATAACTTAAATTTTAGAATTATGTAAAAATCATCATGGCAATTTATTGACATCTGCAGAATATTATATTCTTTGATGTAAATAAAGTTTTTTAGTCTAGATCTATTAAAATAATCAAACTAAAGTTTATTTCATCATACTACGAATTACTTAACAGATTATTCTCAAATGATAAACCAGATGGTCTGCATTTATGGTGCTGACCAAGAAAACAGTTCAATTTTGTAGGCCTTTAGTCCAGTCAATGAATGACCCAAAAAGAAGGGTAGAGTGCGGGAGCAGGTAACTTAGCGATTCCTTCATAAACTTGTTCAGGGGGCTTAGTGTGTTAACATACCAAAAGTCCTGACATCTAGGTGGTGAGCCGAAGGGGGGAGTAGAGATACGAATTTTGGGTTTTTCGTTTGTGTCTCGAAAACGGTTCATTGGAGGGAAATTTTTTTTTCATAACAAAATAAAGCTTAAAATTATATAAAACTTTTATGTTCTATGTTTTTTTTTCAAATTCTCAACCGTTTTCGAGCTACACCTTCGAATAAAGTAGAATAGGTACTACAAAAAAAATCATTTTACCTCATTATATTCGTCAAAAATCCATCATATTGTCTAAACCTATTTATAAACGAAAAATATGCATAGAAACGAAATTGTAGATATTTAAATTCCTTTTCAGTATATAGGTATTCTGATCCTTGTATTAATCGATGGTAATTAAATTATAGCGTTTTCTACATTACTGCACTGGACACTGGTGCCATAGACCTTGCTCGAACTAAGCCCATGCCACGCCGTCTATTAGTATAACTGTATAAGGTCTATAGCACCCGTGCGGTATGGTGGAAAACGCTATTAGAAACAAGAGTTATTCATGCAGGCACGTAGCCAGACATTTTTCTATAAGGGGGCCGACATTTTTTGGCCCCTTTCAGTTTTTTATACCCAATATCACTCATCTCTTTATCAGACAATAAGATATAAAGATATCTATCCTAGTCCGTGGATATAGTTCACAATATATTGTCCTTTATTACCTGTCTGAAACTTTCGTGCCGAGTTTACAACAAAAAAGGTACCTAATCGGCTAATCGCAGGTCCAGTTTACATTTGCCCGAATAAAATTCATTGGAAAATCTGCACTGCCTTACAATTATTTGCTTTAAATGACTCATTACTGTCATTACCTACTTATAAGTTATAACAATATTAAATATTTTTTACTTCGAAAATAGCTATAAAAATAAATGTCAGAATGTCTGACATAATATTGTTTGTCAGGGCGGCGCTGGGTACAACTGCCCCGGGCGCCAGTATTTTAGGGGTGCCAACATTTTATGGTCAGATATTTGTTTGCTCGTGAATTATTAAAATTTTATAATTTTAATTATTTTAATAACAGTATTATATGATATAATTTAGTACAATAGTGTTATGCTGTTTGAAATGTTATTAATTAATATTAATTTGCATATATAGTTTTATATAATTTTATTTTATTTATTCATGAAGTAGGTTGTAGGTACCTACTTAAATATGTTAAAAAAACAATTTATATGATGAATTATAAGCGAGGTTTAAGTGACATAAATTCAAATGTATCTTTGCGGAGAGAGGATCAAGCATTACTAACAATATTTTAAAAAAGGTGGTAAGTTGGATGTTCCGCTCGCTGTACAGTAGGTTTACAAGTGGGTCACTGTTAAATTTGAATTCAATGATTAATATCATTGTATAAAGAAAAACGATTCCTGAGCGAAGACTGTATGTCAGTCTAGGTTAAGATAAAGTTTATACAATCTATGGTATTAAAAAAAATTTTACTATAATAAAATTCCAAATTATCAATCCATTATCAGATATCCATTAGGTACTTTATAACACGTTTTACATCAACATCAATAACAAACCCTGATACTATCATCGATATTAATAAACCTTTAGAAGTTCAAGTTGGTACCCCCGTACCCCGAATATATTAGATAAATCACAACAAATCTAGGTTTTTTAATATGAAATTCGTCCCAAATTTGAACATAAAATGACTATAAAAATAAACTGTGATTGTATATTTTTTAGATTTTTCGGTAAGATAATTAACTACTTACGTGGAATCTTGTTTTAAATTTTCAATCCTTAGCTATAAAAACTGAACATTTTATAACTTATTCATTATGATGATTAATAAATTTCGAGATTTTGAAAAATTCTGTCAAAATTCGATGTTTAAATGCTTATAAAAAAAATTGTGCCTATGTATTTTTAATATTTTTCAACTGATATTGTAACAATATATCAGGAGCCTTGTATTAAATTTTTACACTTTTTGGCCCAACAGATAAAACTTTATTGATATTCAAAGAAAAAAAACTAAAAAAAATTGAAAGCTGTAAATGTCCATAAACAGCTCAAAAAGTGTCAAAATATTTTCAAAATTGTATGGTGTATAGAAAATGCTAATTTAAACATTCAGTGAAATTTTCATGTATCTACAGTTGTTCGTTTTTGAATTGCAACAAAATAAAGAAATCGCTACATGAGTAATCGGGTGAATATCCAATGTTGTAAAAATTTGAATTTCAAACGCTCATAAAAATTTAATTTGACTTTCCTGTAGAGATTTTTTTATTGATAAAGGTAGACAATCTTATGAGTAATCTTGTATTAGATTTTCAAATCTTAGATTTAAAAAGAAAAATTTTTACGAATTCTTAACTCAAAATAATTTGCTAATTTTCGTGATTTTTCCATATTTTGTCAATTTTTGAACTTTAAATGCTTATAAAAAAAAATTGTGACTAAGGATTTTTAATATTTTTCATCTGCCTTTGAAACAATATATTAGGAACCTTCTATTAAATTTTCAAGCTTTCGCAACCAACAATAAAATTTTATTGATATTTCTAGAAAAAAAACTAAAAAAAAACTAAAAATGAAAATGTCCCTAAACTGTTCAAAATAAATCAAAATATTTTGAAAATGTTATCGTGTATAGAAGATGCAAATATAAACAACCAGTGAAAATTGCATGTGCCTACGGTCATTTGTTTTAAAGTTACACCAAAAACCAAATTCAATTTTCTGAAAAATCGATTTTGCGTAAAAATTCCCGTTTTTCCTTAATTTTTCTTTTGTTTTTCCCGGCGCTCTTGAAAACTACTGGGAAATTTAAATTTTGACCTCCCCAATGCCCCAACGATATTCACTTTCCAATCGAACAAGATACTGAAGTCGAAAATCGAAGCATTATTTCGACTACTTATCGTGTACACAGACACAAAAAAAATAAATATAAAAATAAAAAAAAAAAAAAAAAAAATAAAAAAATAAAAAAAAAAACACACATCATTGTAAAATCAATACATTCATCGTTTCACTCAGAATCTAAAATTCACACATTGTAAAACAAATATTCTTTTCAGTGTTCAAAATCTAAAAGGTTTAATGAGGATCTATCTCTCATGTTTTTCGTAGGTAGGCCCCTTAGGGGGGAGCAATTTTTTTCACCGGGGCTTAGGGGGGTGCCAATTTTTTTTTGCACCGGGGCGCAATGAATGCGATACTGTTGTTTGTGCTGACAATTATTTATACAGCCGTAAAGTCTTAACTTTTGATGAAGGTTGATATTAGGTCCATATTATATTTATCACCTATCATATTATTATATATTTATATCTTCATATTGTTCAATATTTCTCTTGTAAAGATATGAACCTAATATTAACTTTTAATTTTTTAAATATTCAAGTGTAATGAACATCATCATTATCAATGATTTAATGATTATATTATAAAAAATTCTGTAAAAATCACTTTTTGTGTCATAAGCACAGATATGTGAAGTACTCAATAAAGTTACTTTATACATAATATGGATATGTATATTATTCTGAGGTCATAATTGTTACCTATAGCCTATAGGATTATAGCCTATAGGAATAGGATTGACTAGGAGAGCCTTTTTGGTTATCAAAGAGTATATTAAATTTGTCATATTTCTGTGGTATTGTTATCTGCGTTATCAATAAAAAAAAAAAACAAACAGAACAGTGAAAATATACTGATACTGATTTGATATTTGGATTTTAATTCATAATTATTGTCTTAATAGTTAATCTTAATTGTTAAATATGGTTTTCTAATTACATATTTGAAATTGTAAAATATTAATAACTAATAACTATGCATATTATTTTAGTGCTTCTAAAACCATTGTGATATTAAAATTAAAATATACTTTTGTAAGTACCTATCTAATAATTATACCAAATGGCTAATAACAATACTATAGGTTTACATCAATATTAGGCATGTACAATTTTTTTTATCTAGGTGTTCCGACGTTATTTTTGTTTTTTAAATTTTGCATACTCCATTTAAAAATACCGATGCTAGTATAGTTACTTTTGGGTTCTGACTGTTCACCGGCCCAATAGTTACTGATTTTTCGGAAGACTCCAGTCTTTGGTGTTGCTGTTGCTGTTGTTGTTGGAATTATTTCACTGTCAGACTCTTGATCTATTGAATTAACTTCGTCATGATAAATAGTGTTCTGGTCTGCCGTAACTGATTGTTCAACATTTTCAACATGACCTTTTTTGTTATTTCCCAATGATCCAAAACCAAAACTAGTCCCCAAATACTTATCATACATTTTGTTATGCACAATTTCTTGATCTTCTTTTCCATCACCGTTTTTTATTCTATAACCACTCCCAAAATGAAATCCAATTCCTACATTTCCAGAAACACCAAATGAATTTTGTAGTTCTGTAGAATGATGGTTTGTTGTGGAATGGGTTTTAGTTCTAGGATAAAAAACTCTTTCCAACAGTGATTTTTGTACCCTATTTAATTCATTTTGCTTTGGTACAGTCATTGCTATTATGTTAATAACTGTTGTTGTTATTAATATCTGTTAAAAATGTTAAAATATAAAATAAACAAAATTAATTATACAACTTAATTCACAATTATTTATTTCAATAATTCAACAATTTGTAAGAAAGAGTAAGGCTTGACAAGAATAAATTCTTGTCAAAGTATATTGAATTCTAGATTTTATTGGTTTATTAAACAAACATTTTTTTTTTAACCACAGTTACAGATAACGCTTGTTTTTGGATGGGCACAACTTTTTTTGCTAACATTTTTTTTGAGGCCAATTTTTTTTAACTCTTTGTTTATTACCATAGGAACGAAATCAGCATTTTGCTTGGATAGGGTAATACAAAAGAATTTAGTTTCTAAAAAACTAAAAACCAGAACAGAGTTATTTTCAAACGGTAATTTAAAAGAAAATTGATTACCTATAGAATTAAATTATAATAATAAAAAAAAATAGTTGATCAAACAATTTTTATTGTTATTGTTAATTTATAAAAAATTGATTCTAATTTAAAATATTTAAAAATATGTACACATGTAAAAATAGGTATCATTTTCATAAATTATATTATCTTATAATGGATTATGGATATAATTCTAATGTAACCTAGGTTAAAAATAATTTATAATTTATCATTTATACTTACTAAATAGACTAATAAGATCGATCCCATTTTCAAGTTTTGTATGTGTGAAAGGAATCTGTTTTTGACAAAAAAAAAACTACTGTTAAGAATGATGTGAGACTACTGAACTGTATTTTAGTATGGGCCATTAGAAAAAAAAAACAAATAGAATATTTGAATTAAATAAACACTTTCTCTATCCCTCATCATGGTATTCTGAATGTGGGCTTGAAAAAGTTGTATACTATATTTTATCTTTGAATTAAGCTGTGTATAATTAAAACCTAATTTAAAATGTGTGTATAAGTACATATAACATTTACATTTTAGACTTTAAAATTATAACAATCACTAATTGAATATAATTTAGTTAATGACTATTATTATTCAATAGCTAACTAATGATTAATGTCCCTATATATTGTGTTATTATTTACAATATAATATAATGTATTTTGCTTATATACACACTTGATGCTGAAATTGAAAAGTATTGTTATTATAATCTTTTGTATTATATCCACTAACTATTCATATTTTCATTTTTTAAAGGATAAATTAGGACACCAAAAATTAGTATTTTCATGTATAGCTATCATATGACTTAAGACAAAGTAATATATTTTATAAAATTATTCATATTGACTTATAGTTATTATATTATATTATAAAACAAATAAAATAATATTTACCATTATTTACCATTGTCTATCAATATAAAATCCAAATACCATTTAGTCACTGATCGCTGTAACTCAAAAACTGCGCAAAGTTCAAATTTGAAATTTTGAATAGAGGTTCTTCTCATATTTTTGCAATAAGAAAGGATTTGCCAAAAATTGCATTTTAAATAGGTGCTCAAACAGGGACATTGAGGTTCATATTATTGGTTGCCATTGGTTATTCGGGCCGATTAGGTACAAGCTTGCATCAAATCGAATTATTGAACATTGCTTACCAGGGTGGCTGAGTTGCACTTACCGCAGCAAGTTACACCCAAAAGAAGTTGAACAATCATAATTTTTTTAAGAGTTGCAATTTTTTACGGGCAACGAAGTGCACTAGTTCAGCTAGTAATTTTATAAAATTAACACAATTTTTTTAAAAGTATTATTGAGGGAATTATTATTTTTTTGAAATGGAATATATTTTTTATTATTATAATATTAAGTTATGTTATATTTATACAAATTCATTTTTTATTTCAGGTATAACAATCCAAAAATGACAAATCAATCTGATGAAAAATCTGACATAGAAACAGTTGAAGAAGTTGAACCAAAACTTAAATATGTTCGTCTCACTAATGACGTTCAAACTATTTTAACTAAAGACGGTGTTAGTTATCTTGCTGCTCATCCCAAGTTCTTGTGTATTGGTACTAATTGGGGTTCTATTCATTTATTGGATTTTGAAGGTAACATTGTGAATAATCGGCAACTACGTCCACATACTGTAGCAGTTAATCAAATAAGTATAGATAGTCGTGGTGAATTCATTGCCACTTGTTCTGATGATGGTAATGTATTTGTTTATGGTCTTTACACGACAGAAGATTCTCAAGAGGTCTCATTAGGTCGTTGTGTAAAGTCTGTCGCAATAGACCCGTTATACCATAAATCTGGCAATTATCGGCGTTTCATTACTGGAGATGATCGTCTTATGCTTCACGAGCGAACATTTCTCGGACGTACAAAATCTGTAGTTTTGTGTGATGTTGAAGGAGTTGTACATAATATGAGGTGGCATAATCGTTTTGTGGCTTGGGCTTCAAATATAGGTCTCAGAGTATATGATATAATATCTCGATGCTCACTAGGCCTTATTAAATGGGATAAAAGAAACAACATAATACCTAGTACATACAGATGCAACTTGACGTGGAAGGATAGTGGAACATTACTTGTTGGTTGGGTTGACACAGTAAGGATTTGTGGTGTTAAACGTCGATTACAAAGACTTAAGGACGTTCCTGAATACATAGTAGAACCACTGTCTATGTTTCGTATTGATTACTTTATTTCCGGTATTGGACCACTTAATCATAACCAATTAGTAATATTATGCTATTCAAAAGAAAAAGACGAAAACGAAAAAGCGATGAGACCACAATTATATGTAGTAGAAGCAAAAGAATCAAAGTACGTTGAGCTGTGTACTGATAACTTGTCTTTACGTGATTTTCAAGATTTTGGTTGTAACGATTATGCTCTCGAAAGTTTAGTCGTGGAAAATCTATTCGTCATTGTTAGTCCAAAAGATATAGTTGTGGCAAATCCGTGTGATGCGGATGACAGAATTGAATGGCTTATTGAACATAACAAATATGCCGAAGCCATGGAAATAGTAAATTCTAAAAATATAGTTTTAAATCGAAATTCCCGAATATCTGTGGGTAAAAAATTTTTAGACCATTTATTATTCGTTGAAGAATATGTTGAGGCTGGACAGCTGACGGCTGAACTTTTCGGAAACGATAAAAAACTTTGGCAAGAAGAAATATTTAAATTTGCCCAAGTTCATCAACTTCGTCAAGTAAGTGCTTACATACCAAGGGGTGAAGTAACTCTAGATCCTCACATTTATGAAATGGTATTATACGAGTACTTAAAACTGGAACCCGAAGGATTTTTGAAAATCGTAAAACAATGGTCGCCATCACTGTACAATGTGTCTGCTGTTACAAACGCTCTAATTGAACATTTAATAGTAAACTCGAGTTCGGAACTATTAGAAGCTTTGGCTATTCTGTACACTCATTCCGGAAAGTTCGATAAAGCGTTAGGGGCGTACTTGAAGCTGAACCATAAAGGTATATTCCAGTTGATTACCAAACAAAATTTGTATCCGCTAATACACAACATGATCGAAGATCTGATGCAGTTGGACTGCGAGCAGACGATCAAGATACTTTTGGAGAAGGACACCGTTCCCATTGACGTGGCCGTGGCGAAGTTACAGGACAACAGACTCTACCTGTACACGTATTTGGACGCCCTGGAGAAAAAAGACACAAGGATGTTGGCTAGGCGGAACTTGCACAAGGACTTGGTGTCACTGTACGCGGAATTCGCGCGAGAGAAGCTGTTGCCGCTACTGAAGCGGAGCGACAATTATTCCATCGCCTTGGCGCTGGAAGAATGCAAGCGATTAGAGTACTATCCTGAAATGGTGTACCTGTTGGGTCGGATGGGCAACACCAAGGACGCGCTGAACCTGGTCATGTCGCAACTGCAGGACATCGAGCAGGCCATCGAGTTCTGCAAGGACCAAAACGACGCCGACCTTTGGCATGACCTAATCGGCTTGTCCTTGGACCAGCCGAACTTTCTCAAAGTGCTATTGCGGAAAATCGGCACGTACGTGGACCCACGAATTCTGATCCGCCGGATTGGTAAGCGGACACAGATACCGGGGCTGAAAGACGCGCTCGTCAAGATGATGACCGACTACAATCTGCAGGTGTCCGTGGAAGACGGATGCGCAAAAATCGTCGTTTCCGACTGTTTCGACCTGCACGAGCGGCTGTACAACGTCAGGAGGAAAGGGTGTGGAGTAGACGATCAGCACTTATGTAGCGCTTGCCAAAAGTGCATCGTCGGCCAGGACACCGTGGGAAACGCACTGATATTCTACTGTCAACACGTGTTTCACGAGGAGTGCATACCTGCGGACGGGTTGGAGATGGCGTGCATAATTTGCACGGACAGCCGAACGAAACAGGCGGCGTTCCAATGAGTACGTGTATACGGGACACGTGCGTTTCGATAGCGACGAACGGCGTTCTGTCGATCGTTTTGTTTGAGATCTTTCATTCAGATCTGCAGCGCGTATATATGATCGTTTGGCCTAACCTGTACGTGCTCGTTCAATTATTTTACTATACCGTGACTACGTATTTCGCGGATATAACTATGGTACCTATGGTTGATAAGTTCGATAGATTTTATAATTATTGTTATACCACCTATGTATAAAGATGGTTTATTTTTTTTTCTAAATATTTATTTTAATTACAATGTTTATATTACCGGCATGATATTCATTATAATATTTTTTTCAATATACTAAATGTGTTTTTTTGAAATTTACACAAGCAAAAACCACAAAATATATATGATGACATCGAATTGTTTTTTCTTATGTGTTAACAACGTTTTATAATTTTGTACGTGGATAAAAAAAGTAGAAACATATCGCCTATCATGACGCGACTACGCGAGTCAGATTGGCCAAAAGCAGTTAGCAAGGTCAGCCACACTTCTATATTGAAGTTCATGTATTAGGAGAGGTAGTGAGCGTGTTTGGTTGTATATTACTGCCGACCGGCCAACAGTAAACAATTCAGTGTTTGCCGAGGCCTCGTGGCAGTCGGAAAGTATTTTCTAAGTATATACCCGAACCATGCAATTCGTACGCATTAGATGTATGATGTTATGTAAATATATTTTATTTTTAACTTCTTGAGTTTCGATAGTATTTTTTTATCAATATTCTTCGAATCTTTAAGTCGCTGCATAGAAGATTCCATTCGTTGTTGAAGTTGAATATAGGTAAGTTTGACTAAAATAATTATAAAACATGTGAACCGCCTTAATAGATAAGTTGTAGGTATCTACTTGTTTTTTTTATTAACTTAATTTTTTTTTAATATTTTGCGCTTAGCATTTCAATATAATTTATGAAATTGAAGGAAGTATCATGTATGTACTAATAGTTACCTAATATAAAATAATATGGAAAAGGTTGAATTATATATTTTCATTAATATTAACTATTAAGAGATGTTAAGAGGACGTCTCACCCGGATGTGTTGTCTCCGTCTTACACACGTACGACATAGCAAATTTTCGTTTGCTAGTTTCAATAGGGTATTGTCAGTTTTGATATTAGAGTGAATCAACCTATTATCAAACTTTTAGGTAACAACATTATTTGTGTTCTCTCGTTGGTTTTTTACGATATTTTAATTTTTAAGTGAGTTATGAACATTTTAGAATATGAATACTTTACATACCCATAACTCACTTAAAAATTAAAATATCGTAAAAAACTAACGAGAGAACATAGATACTGTTCTTACCTAAAAGTTTGATAATAGGTCTAATCACTCTAATATAAAAACTGACAATATCCTATTGAAACTAGCCAACGAACATTTGCTATGTCGTATGTGTGTACGACGGAGATAACATATGCGGGTGAGACGTCCTCTTAACTAGGCGTATTTATAGTTCAAACTCAAACTTCAATAACTAAATAATTTTAAACTCGTATGAAGGAAGTTAGACAAAAAATGCAATCGCAAATAGTTATGACAGTAATTTATCTAAACACAGTAAATATACAATTGTAATTATTAATTTTGAAATTTTGAAAACGAAGTTTTTAACTTTTCATAAATAGACATACCTAGGTAATTAAAAATAATATCAAGTTAAAATAGGTAGTTTTTTTTATTTAAAGCATGTTATTTCTAATAAACTATTATCAATTTAATTTCTTCCTTTATTTGTATTACTTATTTTAATCTTTAGCCTGCCTAACTATTAAACCTCTTGTGTAGGTGTAACCTAGATTTTTCATAATTAGTTTAAAATTAAAAGTAAATGTATTAAAGTTTTAACGTTTTATTGGTATTAACTAACTTATGAAAAGTTTTTACATGTTGGGATTATATATACATTTTGTGGATCTGTACAAACTTATAAACTAAATATTTATATATGCGTGTATGAATTGAGTAAAATTTGTATTATAGCATGTTTATTGCTATAGGTACGCATATACCCACCGGCTGCCTACATAAAGTGCATAAGGCACTATAAAAACTAATTAATTACCTAATTAATCATAAAAAATGAATTCCATGATAATTAATTTACTTAGGCTCCGCTATTAGCATAAGCTCGCGTATAGACTTAATGTCTGGCCGAGCCTGAAACTATTAGTGCCCTAATACTGTATGTACACTGTTTAGACAGTGCCCCCGCATTTGTATTTATTTTTTAATACCTACATCAGCATACATTCTAATTGTAAATTAATAACTGCAGTATATTATAGTTAGTTAAGAATACAAATATACAATTAATAATAATAATGTCTCATAATATTTCTTGTCACAGTGCACATAAAAAATCTATGTCTATTACCTAACACCGTTAACACTAAATAGGTAGTAAACAGTCAACATACTGCTTATCTTAATATTAAATAAACACGATATGTCACAGATGTATAAGTACACAATGTTTTTGTTAGATAAATAAAATTGGTGAAGTGGATAAGTGGTACCCGCCGTACACACAAATAAAATTTCGATAATCTTCACGAATATATTAATCATTATAATACCCAAATTTGACCAGGCTTCCAAACAATTTCCGGTAGAGCCTGAGCTCTGCCGGCTCGCCTTGTGCACACACCTAAGACTATTAGGTATTGTAACTTCAACTTTATTTTTATAGATACATATACCTAGGTATTAAGAAATTATAACAAGAATTATTTACCTTAATATAAATAATTATGATAGGACTATAAGAGTTTTGATGTAACGAACTAGTGTAATTCAAATCCGGACCGTAATATCTTAAAAGTTATGAGTGTTATAACTTATAACCATGATAAAATATGTACCTTAAGATAAAGCTTTAATCGTGATTATAATTTATAATTGAGTACTTGAATTTTTAGGAAATACAAATATAGAATCTTCAAAGTTAAAATCACATGATAAAAATAAATAGGTACCTTCATAAGAAACCACAGAAGTCAAGTTATGGAACTCAGTAACTCACTAAAATAGTATTCTTATAAAGCAATTTATACTAAATATTTTTAAGTTTAAAAGAAAACAAATACATAGGTACCTATCTCCTTTTATATAGGTAGGTAGAGTGTAAGGTATAATTTAATATACAACACATTTGTTTCATAGCTTGTACCACTATAGAAGTTTATATAGTTTGAACCTATTTTATACTAGGTACCTACCTACCTATAAATGTATAATACTATAATATACTATATAGGTATCTATTAAATATTTCCATCAAATCCCAGTTTGTTTTGTTTATATGTTGTTACTTTGTGGATATATTATGGGATTCTCCCGTTGTGTAATACCTACAATATAAAATAAAATCAAGTTAGATAACATGGATTTAAAACTGTACATGTAGGATATTACCTTAACCTAAAACGTTGTAATAACATATAGGTATAAACTATAAAGCAATAACATAACTATTGTCACTATAGACAGTTTATGTTTATAATGTACCTACGTCCTACGTACTTTACCAAAGCAATCAAATCTAGCAAATAGCAGTACACTCTATACAGTCTACACTCTTGTAAAATTGAAGAATTTATAAACGGTTGTAACTTGGGTAGGTATAATATCGTATTTAGAATTTCATCTTGGAAGAATTCCTATGAGATTTTGCAGGAACAACGTCTGGAACCTACGCATAAACTAAAAACACTTGCATAATAAATGAGAGATTTTTACTTCATAAAACAAATCGAAAATCCATTTTATCAATGGAACAATCTTAATATTTTTTTTTTTATATTTAAACAATTATTTTGTTAATAATAAATAACAATAGATCGCAGTGGCGCGTAAAATTAAACCGATAATCTGAAGAAGTAAAAAAAACATAGATTATGAAATATATTTTGACTTCTTAGAAACTTGTTTGCCCTACATTTCTTTGGATATATAGTTCCATCATTTTAGAGTATAGTCTATGGCCTTACCGTATTACAGTATCTACCACACTACCCACAGCCCACCTATCAAGCTATACTCGTTCCCCCTACTTATAAGGATTTTAAATTAATATTTCTTCGTGGGTTAGATTTATTATATTTACTTATGTATACAAATTGTGATTGTTTCTCAATAGATGTTTAATTATGTAAAATTGTTGTCCAAAAATATTTTATATAAACAAGTATTCAAGTATTATATGATTCAAAATATTTACATAATTATATTATAGTTAATGTAGATATATTGACAAAATAATTTCGTCTAGAAAATCTATTTTGTAATTTTTAGAAACTGTAATACAGTATTATAATATTTATCATACATCCCAACGATAATTTTAATGTTGTTCTGGTACATTTATATCATTCAAGTTGAATATCAATAACATAGACACGAAAAAATATCAGAAACAACAAGGGAATTGTCTTTTTTGTGAAACGACGCGGAGGTGTCGAGGTCGGCTCCATGACCTTTAGATATAGCTAGTTGTATACAGTATTTTATGTATGTGTGTGTGTGTATGAGTATGTTTGTGTTCTGTTCCATACGTTTTATCTGTTATAGACGGTTACATGTATATAATATGATACAAAACCTTAAACCTTGAAATTATTTTAGATATCGAAACCCACTACTAACACATCGGTTAATATTATATAAACACTATTATTATGTCATCTAGGTAACTGTATTCTCTTTTTTTCAGTTTTATTATATTTTAGTAAAGAACTTGTGATACTAATATTTAAAATTTTTTTTTTTTTATTTTCTAAAAATTAAAATGTCTGTGGCTATTGGATACCAACTATAAATATACAATACTTTGCATAAATACACGATTAGATTTAGATACAGTTGTGGAGTGGTCTATTGAATATTGTGTTAACACATAATGGCTGGTAAATAAATAAATAAAATGATTTTGTGTGATCATGCATAATATAAACAAAAT